ATTTTCAGTGTTTTTTTTTTTTGTTGAGTTTTTTTTTTTTTTTTTTTTTTTTTTTTTTTTTTTTTTGTTTTTTCTTTTTTGATTTTGTGTATATTTTTATGATTTTCAGTGTTTTTTTTCTGATTTTGGCCATATTTTAATGATTTCTAGTGTTTGTTGTAGTTTCGGCCCGCCGCGGACAGGGTCCGTCGGGGGGCTCCCCGAGAGCTCCGTCCGCGGCGGATGGTCTCCCGTGGGGAATCTGGGCCAGATTCTCCATGGGAGAGCCACCGCCGCGGACAGGGCCCGTTGGGGGGCTCCCCGAGGGCCCCGTCCGCGGCGGATGCCCTCCCGTGGGGAATCGAGGCCAGATTCTCCACGGGATACCCCCCGCCGCGGACAGGGTCAGTCGGGTATATTTTAATGATTTTTCAGTGATTTTTTTGTTGTTTTGGGCATATTCCAATGATTTTCATTTTTTTTTTTCAGATGTGGTGCATATTTTGATGATTTCCATGTTTTTAAGCGATTTTGATCATATTTTGGTGATTTTCAGTGTTTTTTATATATATATTTTTTGATTTTGGTTATATTTTAATGATTTCGAGTGTTTTTTTTGTAGCTTCGACCAGCCGCGGACAGGGTCCGTCGGGGGGCTCCCCGAGAGCTCCGTCCGCGACGGATGGTCTCCCGTGGGGAATCTGAGCCAGATTCTCCATGGGAGAGCCTCCGCCGCGGACAGGGCCGATTGGGGATCTCCCCGAGGGCCCCGTCCGCGGCGGATGGTCTCCCGTGGGGAATCGGGACCAGATTCTCCACGGGAAACCCCCCGCCGCGGACAGGGTCAGTCGGGTATATTTTAATGATTTTCAATTAATCTTGTTGTTTTAGCTATAATTTGGTGATTTTCTATGTTTTTTTTGTGATTTGGGGGATTGTTCAATGATTTCCATAGGTTTTTAGTGATTTTGGGTATATTTTAGTGATTGTCACTTCTTTTTTTTGCCATATTTTAATGATTTCTAGTGTTTTTTGTAATGTCGGCCCGCCGCGGACAGGGTCCGTCGGGGGGCTCCCCGAGAGCTCCGTCCGCGGCGGATGGTCTCCCGTGGGGAATCTGGGCCAGATTCTCCATGGGAGAGCCTCCGCCGCGGACAGGGCCCGTTGGGGAGCTCCCCGAGGGCTCCGTCCACGGCAGATGCTCTCCCGTGGGGAATCGGGGCCAGATTCCCCACGGGAGACCCCCCGCCGCGGACAGGGTCAGTCGGGCATATTTTAATGATTTTCATTGTTGTTTTCGTTGTTTTGAACATATTTTAATGATTTTCAGTGTTTTTTTGATGATTTGGAGGATATTTTCTAATGATTTCCATACTTTTTCAATGATTTTGGGTATATTTTAGTGATTTTCACTGTTGTTTTGTGATTTTGAACGTATTTTAATGATTTCTATTGTTCCTTTCTGTAATTTTGGGTAGTAATGGTCCCAGGAGGTCCCGTTTGACATGGTGTCGGGGCTTCGAAAACCCGCCCCGGGAGATTCCGTTTGACATGGTGTCACGGGTCACGCCCCGAAAATTTGGTTCCGGGAGATCCCGTTTGACATGGTGTCGGGCCCGTGGGCGCCTCTCCCCGAGGTTTGACATGGTGTCACGGGTCACGGCCCGAAAATTTGGTCCCAGGAGATCCTGTTTGACATGGTGTCGGGCCTTCGAAAACCCGCCCCTGGAGTCCCGTTTGGCATGGTGTCGGGCCCCGTCCGCGGCGGATGATCTCCCGTGGGGAATCGGAGCCAGATTCTCCACGGGAGACCCCCCGCCGCGGACAGGGCCCGTTGGGAGGCTCCCCGGCGACCCTCTCCGTTGGGAATATTTTAGTGATTTTCAGTGTTTTTTTGGTGATTTGGGGGATATTTTAATGATTTTCAATCATTGTTAATGATTTGGGGCGTATTTTAACGATTTCCATATTTTTTTAGAGATTTTGGGCATATTTTGGTGATTTTCAGTGTTTTTTTTTTTTTTTTTTGTGATTTTGGGTATATCGGGCGTCAGCCGAATAAAGGCGTCAGAGGAATAGAGGCGTCACGGGCGTCATCGGTCTTCAGGCGAATAGAGGCGTCAGACAGAATAGAGGCGTCAGGAGCGTCAGCGAGCGTCAGCCGAATAGAGGCGTCAGCCAGAATAGAGGCGTCACAGGCGTCATCGAGCGTCAGCCGAATAAAGGCGTCAGAGGAATAGAGGCGTCACGAGCGTCATCGGTCTTCAGGCGAATAGAGGCGTCAGGCAGAATAGAGGCGTCAGGAGCGTCAGCGGGCGTCAGCCGAATAGAGGCGTCACACCGAATAAAGGCGTCACGGGTGTCAGCGATCGTCTGGCGCATAGGAACGACAGAGCAAATACGGCGCCGAGCGAATAAAGGCGTCAGACGAATAGAGGCGTCAGAGGCGTCATCGGGCGTCAGGCCAATAGAGGCGTCAGCCAGAATAGAGGCGTCACAGGCGTCATCGAGCGTCAGGCGAATAGAGTTTTCAAATAGAGTCTTCAACACAATAGAGTCTTCAAATAGAGTCTTCATCTTCAGGCCGAATGGGGAACCCACCGGGCCACCCCCCTGTATATATATTTATATATATGTATATGTATAACGTTATTTACTATATATATATATGTGCATATATATATATATATATATATATATATATATATATATATATACATATTAAGGCGCACCGGGTCCGGGGGCCCGGGGCCGGGACCTCGACCACAAATGTGGGCCCCGGGGGGCCCGGAGGCTCGTCGGACCGCCGGACGCCGTCCAAGATCGTTTGCAGGCGGCTTCGGAACGCGCTCCGATGGCTCCAGATGCCTTCCAAGACGCCTGTCATGACACCAAGACGGTCCCAGAAGCCTCCAAGACGCTCCGAGAGGCAGCCCAAGAGAGGCCCAAGAAGCAAAAATCGTGCCACTACTATGGGAAAGCGTATATTTTTCGCATGTTCGCATCTTGGGCTTTCACCGCGTCCAAGACGGCCCAAGAGGCCTCCAAGACGGCCTAGGAGGCCTCCGGGAGCGCTCCAAGGCTGCGCACGAGTGGCTCAGGACGGCCCCAAGACGGCCCAAGAGAGCCCCAAGACGAGTTCGAGAGGGTCCCAGACGGAGAAAGCCAACCTCGAATTCCGAGCTTCCGGCCCAAGAGGCTCCAGGAGGCGCCAAAATGCCGCCAAGAGGCGCCACAAGGCTCCCAAAAGCACCCCAAGACGTTCCGAGAGGCACCCCAAGAGAGGTCCAAGAAACAAACATCGTGCCATTCCTATGGGAAAACGTATATTTTTCGCATGTTCGCATCTTGGGCTTTCACCGCGTCCAAGACGGCCCAAGAGGCCTCCAAGACGGCCTAGGAGGCCTCCGGGAGCGCTCCAAGGCTGCGCACGAGTGGCTCAGGACGGCCCCAAGACGGCCCAAGAGAACCCCAAGACGACTTCGAGAGGGGTCCCAGAAGGAGAAAGCCACTCTCGAATTCCGAGCTTCCGGCCCAACACCCAGGAGGCGCCAAAACGCCGCCCAGAGGCGCCAAAAGGCTTCCAAAATCAGCCCAAGACGTTCCGAGAGGCACCCCAAGAGAGGTCCAAGAAGCAAAAATGGTCCCATTCCTATTGGAAAACGTATACTTTTCGCATGGTCGCCTGTTGGGTTTTCACCGCGTCCAACACGTCCGAAGAGGCTCCCAAGACGGCCTAGGTGGCCCACAAGAGAGTTCCAAGACGGTTCACGAGGCGCCCAGGACGGCAAAATTGGACTCCAAAAGGGCCTAAGAGAGCCCCAAGGCGTGCCCGAGAGGGGTCCCAGAGGGAGAAAGCCACTGTAGAATTCCGAGCTTTCGGCCCCAAGAGACTCCAGGAGGCGCCAAGAGAGCTCCAAGAAGCCCCCACGAGAGACCCAGGACGCCCCAAGAGGCTCCAAAGGCGGCCCAAGAGAGCCCCAAGATGGGCCCGAGAGGGGTTGCACGATTCCTGGGTCTGTGACTCGACAGAACCTAAGCGCGCGAAGCGCGCGCGTGGTTCTAGTATATATATATATATATATAGAGAGAGAGAGAGAGAGAGAGAGAGAGAGAAATCGTCCAACATCCGCCTGTAGGGGGACACGCCCGACCTGAACGTAGGGGCTTTCGTCGGGCCGGGGTCGGCGCCCCGCCCGGAGACTTGCGCGCCTGCTATCGGGGGCCCGAGGCCGACCCTGCGGCGACGCCTCGCCGAGTCCCGCCCGGGGTGTCCCCCCCCCCCCCCCAGTGAGCCGTCCCCCCCCGCCCCCAGCGTTTCGAGGTGGGCATCGACTACAGAATTGATCTGGCCCCGAAACTCATGTCCGTCATGATTCCCTTCGGGGATCACCCGTTAAAATTGGAACGATACAGAGAAGATTAGCATGGCCCCTGCGCAAGGATGACACGCACAAATCGAGAAGTGCACACATAAAAAACAACTCATGTCCGTCACAGCGATGGACAGCACGTCGAATTCTCCGTCGACCCACGAACATGTCACAGACTGCTCGCGGAGTCGGCGACGAACCGTTCTGGGGCACACGAACTCTGCAATTGATCTCCTGCTTGAGCGGGGATCGACCACAGACTTCACCAGAGACATGACTGCTTCTCTCCGTCGGAGCTATCGAAAAGCACGCAGAGCGCTTCGCAGAACTATGAACAGTCGATGTGTACTGTATGGGTCCGTCGAAGATGTCAATTTCGGGAGTCGATCAATGCCGTGGTCGATCTCCTACTCGCAAGGGGCCTTCTGCCCTCTGCCCCCTCCGCGGCCGCTCTCTGCTCTCCCGCCCGCCACGAGCGTCCTCGAGGCGGCCATCTTTTCCAATATTTTATGTTTTCTGGGTTTTTGTCTCCCCCCCCAATTCCAGTGTTTTTTCATATGCTCCTGGGAGTCGACGATTACTTGTGTCTGTGTGTGTTTTTTCCCCTCCTGAAGCAGACGAGCATTCTGAGACGCCGACTGCGTGCAGGCACGGTGGCGGATCTTCACCAGGATTTCCTTGCCCGCGCACGCGCGTCTCGAGGCGGCCTCCGAGAGCGGCAGGGCGCCGGGTGACGGACCCGGCGGTGGATGCGGCCAGACAGGCCCAGCAGGAGGATCAAGCGCTGCAGAGCGTTCGAGCACGCTCCCACCAAGCGATCGGGAGCGCGCTCGGAGCGGCCGCGGCGCCCCATGCATCCTCCGCATCGGCCGGCTCTCGGAGGTGCACGGTCCGCAGCTTCATCCGCACCTCCTCGCCTCGTGCCGCCCACGAGTCGGAGCGATCGAAGTGGGCACGGCAAAGATGGGTACGCACCCAGAGATCCGACGCCCCCCCAAACTTGGAGCGGCGGAGATTTGCCAGCTTGCGGCCTCTGGGGGCCCTCGCTGGGCCCCTGGGACCGTCAAGCAACGACTCAGGACGCAAAGCCGCTCTTGGAGAAGTGGTCCGGACCTCCGGGGCCCGCGCATCGAACAAATTGGAGCAGCCGGGAAGACCAGTAAGGGCTCCTCGGTGTCGTCGCGGGTATGGTCCACTTGAGGCACGAGCTCGCCTGCCCCAATGCGGCCGCTGTCGGTTCGGGGCAGCATCTTACCCACTTTTGCCTGTATCCACTGCGTGCGTCCAGTTCGAGTTCATCGTGGACGATTCCTCCCTGCGACCAGTTGCGAACCCTACGCGGTCCTACCTAGCTTCCGCAGGTGCACTCGGCGCTGTGGTATCGGACACCCCCGCTGGGATTCACTGGGCAGCAGACGTCTTTCGGATTTGGCACTCCAGCCGCTCCAGTTGGCGTTTCAGAAGTCTGACCTGCCGGGGTAGGGGTCAGGCGTGGTTGCCGATCCTCTGGCGGGAGGGCGCCAGGTGCGCGATGCAGAACAACGGGGTCGTCTCCACCGACATTTTACCAGCCTGGAACATATCCCTATCCCTATGCTGGGCACCTCCTCATCACGATGCCAATCTTAGGGATTCCCTTATTGTAGTGGCCTTCGGCCAGTGCCGCCGATCCGGGTCGCTCGGGGTTATTCTCCAGACGCAGAAATTATGGGCGCACACTCAAACGCACACACACAGTCACACCACTTAACCTGCGCCGCAGACATGCGCACACAGCATCACCCACACACACATACTAGTTGGGAAACGCTCCTGTAGTACTAGTAGTAGTATAGTAGTAGTAGTAGTAGTAGTAGTAGTAGTAGTAGTAGCAGTAGTAGTAGTAGTAGTAGTAGTAGTAGTGGTAGTAGTAGTAGTAGTAGTGGTTGTGGTAGTAGTGGTAGTAGTAGTAGAGGCCTCGTTCCGCGGCTTCTCTCGACTTCCCGCGGTCTCTCTCAAGTTTCGAGCACGCGGTGAGTTTCACGATATATGTGTGTGTATGTACGCGTGCATGCATGTATGCATGCATTGATCATGTGTGCCTGTGTGTAGGTACGTATGTATGTATGTATGCTTGTGCGCGTATGTATGTATTTAGTTTGTATGTATGTTTGTATGTGTGTATGATAATATGTGTGTATGTGTGTGAATGTAAGTATGTATGTCTGGAAGATTGTTTTTCTATGTATGCAAATGTGTTTAAATGTAGGTATGTATGCATGTGTGTATGGATGTGCGTTTGAAGAGCGAGGATGTTTCAAAGAAGAGGCACTCGGTGACGCGATCGTTGAGGGATAGGAGTGAGGTCGCAGAGGAGGAGGAGGAGAATGAGGAAGAGGCGATAACTTGAAGGAAAACGATGAGACGGAGGACATCCTGCCGGTGGCGCCCTGGGCGGTGCCGCGGAAGAAACCGGGGGCCTGCCGGAGGCAGTCTGGAGGCCTCTGGGGAGCTGTTTTGGGGCCTCTTGGAACCTCTTTTGGGCCTCTTGTGGGCTTCTTGGGGCCCCTTGGGGGTCTCTTGGGGCCTCCTGGGGGCCTCTTGGGGCGGAAAGCTCGGTTCTTTCGGTTCGTGGTCCCCCTCTTGGGCCCCTCTTGGGGCTCTCTTGGGGCCTTCTTGGGCTGTCCAGAGGCCCTCTTGGGCCGTCTTGGGGCCCTCTTGGGCCGTCTTGGGGCTCTCTTGGGCCGTGTTGGAAGCATCGTGGGCCGTCTTGGGACGGACTTGGGGGCCTCTTGGGCCGTCTTCGAGCGTCGGACGCCCGAAAAGGCAAGAACGCTAAAAACCCTGAGAAAACCAATGAAAATCAACGATTCTGGCCTCTTGGGGCCCTCTTGGGAGGCCTCTTGGAAGCTTCTTGGGGCGTCTTGGAGACACCTTGGGCCGTCTGGAGGCCATCTCGGGCGTCTTGGAGCGATTTTTCGGCGACTCGGGGCCCTCTTGGAACCCCTTGGGGGTCTCTTGGGCCCCCCCCCTCCTCCAAAGCGCCGGAAAAAGCGGAGCATGGCGCCCCCCCCCCCCCTATCTTCCACTCCCCCGGAGCGGCCCCGGGGTTCGCCGGAAACTCGCACCCCCCCCCCCCCCCCCCACCCCCCCTTCCCCGGCAGAGCCACCCCGGCGACCCCCCCAGAGGCTGAAGCTCAGCCTCGAGGCTGTAGCTGAGACTCCTTGAAACTCACACGCCGGATCGGCGGATTTTTTGAGGGCGAATCCCTAAGATTGTCATCGCCTTTTGGCGTGTCAATCTTAGGGATAGGGATACGTTCGAGGCTGGTAAACATTGGCGCGTAAGCTGCCCGCGTGAGGTCGCGCGTAAGTGCCCCCCCTTCTCCAATGTGGCCTGCCGCGCTGGCGACCCGCGTACGGTCGCCGTGCCATCTCGTGTGAGACCTTCTTCTTTTCGTCGCTCAGGTGCTGTACTGGAGGATTACGATTTGAAAAAACCGGCCGCGGGCTGGGAAACTATTTTTTGATCGTTTTCCTCCAATCAGAAAATCATGCCAAAATAGCAGGAAACTAATTTTCTAACCGTTCTCTCCCATGGTTTTATTAATCGTCATCCCGCATTACTAGGTTCACATGAATCAGAGGTTGCCAGAAGGGTCCGTTGGACAAGGTTGGCTTCGCCAGACCCGAGGCCCCTCCATCCCGACCTGAGGCCCCCCAGCCCGACCCGAGGCGCCCCCGCAGCCGTCAGAATCGCCCCTCTTGAACCGTACCTTCTCGCCGTTACCGAGAGGCAGCGGAGGAGGAGGAGGAGGAGGAGGAGGGAGGAGGAGGAGGGAGGAGGAGGAGGAGGAGGAGCTGGGAGGAGGAGGAGCTGGAGGAGCTGAGCGACGCCCAACAACGGGGCCTTGCTCCCCGACGCTGGCGCGCGCGAGCTGCCTGCGTAGAAGGCCGCGCGCGGACGCCTCCGTTTTCCACGCCGTGGGCCACGCTGGCGGGCCCTGCGGAGGGGATCGCTGCGTCGGCCCGCGCGCAGTCGGGCCGAGATGAGATGCCCGGAGAGCTCGTAGAGACCCGGACCCCCTCGCGCTGGGAAGAAACTCGACGGGAGGTGTTTCGCTATCTTCGGCCTCTCGGGGCCCTCACCGCGCCGCGGGACCGTCGATGCACGACTCAGGATGAAGAACCGGTCCCGGGGAAGGGGTCCAGACCTCTGGTGGGGGTCGACGTTGTGAACAAAATCGCGCCCCGCGTTTCCGCGTAGCTGCGGCTTGCTTGATCTCGAAGCTTGTCCCGAGAGGCCTCTCCTTGCTGTTTCCCAGTGCGAGTGCCCAGCGTCTCTCCGGAGGCTCCTTCGAAAGTTCCCTCCAAGAGCTTCCAGGGCTCTTTAAGCAGAGGCCTCTCCAAGGCCTTCTTGCGCTTCGCTATCCGGGTTTGGGACTTCACCAGTCGAAGTCACCTCGGGGAGGGTATCCTAATGTTGTTCGTGCTTGTTGGATGTTCTTGAGCATCCTGGGGGTGATACCCTTGGGTGCTCGTGACTTGGCGGGCGGAGTCTCCCGTGTTTTTGAGGGACGTGCTTATGTCCCAGGTCCGACTGTAAGACGCGTTTGGTTTTGTCGTTCAGGTGACGTTCGGTTGCAAATCATGGGAGCCTTGTGTAGCCTCGCAATTCCAATTATAGCGCCTGTTAATTTGCGTCTGGGAGTCGATGAGGTAGCGCCGATGTTGCGTCGGCGAGCGTCGATTAGCCTCGATGTAGCGTCGATCAACGTCGATTCAGCGTCGATCAGCACCGACTTAGCGTCGATTAGCAAGAGGCAACAAGCTGCTACGTGTCTTGGCCAGCGGATGGTCTCGTACTCTTGAGGGACGTGCGTCTGTCCCAGGTCCGACTGCAAGACCCGATTGTTGTCGTCACTCAGGTTCGGCGTCACCCCAACATACCTATACTACATGTGCGTCGCCCCCTCAGGGGCGACGCGCGCACCGAGAAATCCCACAGTATATGCGTCGTGGCGGGCGCGTTCTGGCCACACCGCCCGGGAAATGATGCACTACGAGAGGGGTCTACTGTCGGTTCGGGTCGGACGCCCGCTCCCAAGGAGAACACACACAGCACCAGTAGGTCTCCGTGCGTCCCACAGGTGACCTACCGCGACTACGTGAGCAAGTTCGACCTGGGGAACCTGCCGGAGAAGGCGGCCGCCGCCCCCGCCGCGCGCGCCGCCCTGCACGGGCAGGCCCGCGGGCGCCGCGCGCTCCCCCCTCCGGCCCCGCCCCCCCCGCCGCGGCAGAGAGCCGCAGGGCGGCAGCCGCTCGGAGGAGGACCGAGGGCGCGAGGGGGGGTCGAGGACTCGAGGGCCCCCGGGGTGGGGGCCCCAAGAATGTGCACCGCCACCACGTCGGTTCCTCCTCCCTCCTCTACAGTCGGGGCGCTGAAGAAGGAACCCTTTTCGTTGGGGAGGGGCTCGGTGTTCCTTGATTGGTTCAAAGTTTGCCTCGGGTTTTCCTGAGGTTGTCCATGGGAAATCGAGGTTGAACTTATAGGAAAAAAGGGGCCTCGTTCCTTATTTAGGGTTCCTTAGGTCAACGCCCCGACTGTACCGTCTTCTGTCCCTCTCCGCTCTCCTGGGGGAGGGAGGGAGGGAGGGAGGGAGGTGGTGGTGGTGTATACGTTTGGACCCCCCTATGGGGTCGAGGGTCCTGGGTGCTGGGGTCGAGGGCCCTGGGCCGAGGGGGCTCGAGGGGGCTCGAGGGGGCTCGAGGGGGCTCGAGGACTCGAGGGCCCTGGGGTCGGGGGCTCGAGGCGTCGAAGATCGAGGGTTCGAGGGCCGATGCTCCAGGGGGCGGGGGGGGCGCCGGGGAGCGAATGGGCGCGCGCGCCGCGAGCGCCCCCAGCCCCGCCCCTCGCGTCGCCCTTCGCCTCTCCCCTCGGCCCTCGCCTCCGAGCTCGCCCACGCTATATAGCACGAGACAAGCACGGCACGGAGCAGCCCAGCAGCAGCCCTTTGTTCTGCAGCATGCGGGGCGCACGGCACCAGCGGTCGAGCGCACATTCGCCTCCACCCTTCGACGGCTCCGGCCCGCCCGCGCCGCCCTGCTGGGCCGCGCCGCCCGCCGGATTCTGGCGAGCGCAAGACGGCGACGGCTCGGAAGCGCTGGGCAAGCGAGGCTGCCCGCGGGCCGAAGCAGAGCCCCCGCGCGAGGCAGCCCGTCGTGGTGGGCTCGTGTTCCGCCGCCGCCGCCAGAAGCAGGAGGGGGAGTGGGTCCTCCTCCTCCTCCTCCTCCCTCCTCCTCCTCCTCCTCCTCCTCCCCTCCTCCTCCCCTCCCTCCCTCCCTCCCTCCCCCCTCCCTCCCCTCCCTCCCTTCTCCCTCCCTCCTTCTCCTCGCTCCTCCTCCCTCTCCCTCCTCCTCCTCCTCCTCCTCCTCCTCCCTCCTCCCTCCTCCTCCCTTCTCCTCCTCCTCCTTCTCCTCCTCCTCCCCTCCTCCTCCTCCTCCTCCCTCCCCCCTCCTCCTCCTCCTCTCTCCCCCTCCTCCTCCTCCTCCTCCTCCTCCTCCCCTCCTCCTCCTCTCCTCCCTTCTCCTCCTCCTCCTTCTCCTCCTCCTCCGCCTCCTCCTCCTCCTCCTCCCTCCCCCCTCCTCCTCTCTCCTCCTCCTCCTCCTCCTCCTCCTCCTCCTCCTCCTCCTCCTCCTCCTTCCCCCCTCGAACTCATGGTGATGGTGGTGGGCAACAGGCCCATCACTTGGGTCACAAAGTTTCCGCACTTCCGCATTCGGAGGGAAACGTCGTCATCGCCATCGTCGTCGTCGTCGTCGCCATCGTCGGCGTCGTCGGGGGCGCCCCGCTCTGCTGCCGCCCCCCCCCCTTTTCTGAGCGCCGGGTGATGCAGGGTGCCGTGGAGAGAGCCATGCCAAGAGGTAAGTCGGGCCTGTCCCCCTACAGGGGGATTTTCGACGAAAAACAAAACATACCCCAAAAATAATCAAAACATAATCCAAAAATAGTCTGGGGACTACTTTTTCAGTGTTTGTTGACCTTTTTGGGGTATTTGGGTTTTTTGTTGTCGTCGAAAATCCACAGGGGGACACGCCCGACATAAGCCAAGAGACACCCTGCTGGCCTCCAGGGTTCCCTGGGTTTCTTGTGTTCCGATGGTTGTGCGATGGAGAGCGCGGCGTTCCCACACCGCAGGTCAATGGACGTCCCGGGGTCTCAGGCTTGGGTTCCTCATGGAAGGTTTTTGGTGGACTGGCCTCCACTGTATCAATACAGCAGCACGGCCCCAGAGACCCGAATTCTAGCCGCATCCCCGCTCTGGCCCCTTGCGGAGGTCGGGCCGTGAGCGAGGGCATGGAGAAGTGCCGATCGCCTGCCGTCTTCGAGGTTTTGAGCTCTCGTCAGATCTCGGCGGCGCTCCAGCCTCGGGCTGCGTTCCAGCAGCCGCGCCTCGCCGAGATCGTCCAAACGGCTGCCGGAGGGCCGAGCTATGACCCGACGGCCAGGGGGGTCAACGTCAGGGTCGTAAGTGATACCGATACCGCTGCTCGTCCTGGAGAGTCCTCGTCGTTATACGGCTGGACTTTCTGGCCGGAACCCGCCCCGGGGGAGGTCTTGGGAGTGCCGGTGGCGGTACCGTTGTGCTTCCCCAGTTGAGCGACGTTGAATACTCTTCCTCCTCCTCCTCCTCCTCCTCCTCCTCCTCCTCGTTTCGTATGCACTGCTTCAGGTGAGTGTCCAAAGCCAGAGATGCTTCAAGCAAAAATCAGCCAATTTGGTTGGGCGACGCATGCATGCGAAGAGGTGTCACCTGTAGCCACGACGCTTCGGCAGATTCTGTCAGAGAAGTGCCTGGTCGCTCGTACTCGCGAGTTGCATAGGCATAGGCCCGTGCTCGACCACCTGCGGGGCCGGGAAGAAAGAAACGAGAGGAGGGATCTGTGGTTGATGCCAGCCTCGGGATCTTCCTTTATCAGCGGCCCACTCAGACGCTCAACGCTGGTGTCAAATGGTGTCGCCTGCGTCCTTGCCTGGCCATTTTACGCGCACGGTCGGCATCCTGTCGGTCTAGCCCAGCGGCCGCATGCGGGAGCATCCGAAGGACATTGTCCAACTGAACGAATCGGCAACGCAAATCCTCCGTTCAAACCTCCTCCTCCTGCTCCTGCGCAGCCTTGTTGCGCCTCCAGGCCACGCTCCACCTCCTCCTCCTCCTCCTCCTCCTCTCCCGATGGTTGCCCCCTGCCCTCCGCGCAGGACGTGCTGAACCAGGACATGACCGTCTCCCTGTATGAGGCGCGACCCAGCCGGCTCGTCCCTCTCGTATTTTCCGTTAGATTTCTGAGCGTGAAATCATGGAGTCAAGCAGGCCCTCCCTCCTCTTCTCTCCTTCCCAAATATCTGACGATGTGTTTTTCCCCAAACAGATTGCTGAACGGGGTGCTGTTGTGATAGAAGCTAACTCCAGCCGAGGGAAAGGGGAGCAGAGACATCCTCACAAAAATCTGATGGTCTGGGCCGTTTCGCTTGAGACATCCTCACAACTCGTTTCTGAGTTGGCCGGGATTGGCCGTTTCACTTGAGAAATCCTCGAACAGTTGCGCTCCGGGACGCCGCGCGAGAGGTGGTCCGGGCCGTTTCGCTTGAGACATCCTCGAAATTCTGAGCCTCGAGGTGCCGTGCGAGAGGTGGTCCGGGCCGTTTCGCCTGAGACATCCTCGAAACTCAGATGCCTTGCGCGAGGTGGTCCGGGCCGTTTCGCCTGAGACATCCTCGAAACTCTGACCTCGGAGATGCCGCGCGAGAGGTGGTCCGGCCCGTTTCGCCTGAGGCATCCTCGAACTTCTGAGCTCTGAGATGCCCTACGCGAGGTGGTCCGGCCCGTCTCGCCTGAGACATCCTCGCAACTCTGAGCTCTGAGATGCCGTGCGCAAGGTGGTCCGGCCTGTTTCGCATAAGACATTCTCGCAACTCTGAGCTCCCAGATACCGCGCAAGAGGTGGTCCAGCCTGGGGACCCAGAAGACCACATGTTACATATCCTCCCTCGGACCCTGGGAGCCCCAGGAGGCCCCAGAGAGCTCCAGGAGGCCGCAGGACGCCCAGGACAGGCCCCAGGGGTCACCAAGAGATTCCCAGGAGGCTCCCAGGAGGCCCCAGGAAGCCCCCTATCAGAACGTGTCAAGTTAATACACATCCGGTGTCGATTCGTTGATTTGTCCTGCTCTTGTGCCCCCCCCCCCCCTCCATTTTGAGGGGCCCAAGCGGCCACAGGTTAGATATCCCCCCTGGGAGCCTCAAGAGGCTTCAGGAAGCCCCAGGTGGAGTTCAGGAGGCAACAGGAGGCCTAATTAGGAAGAAGCCCCAGGAGGTCCCCAGGAGGCCCCAGGAGGCACCAGGAGGCCCCCGCAACTCGGAGCTCTGAGACACCGCGCTCGAGGTGGTCTGGCCCGTTTCGCCTGAGACTTCCTCGCAGCACGTTTCGCCCGAGACATCGCCACAACTCTGGGGTCCGAGATGCCGCGCGCGAGGTAGTCAAGCCCGTTACGCTGGAGACATCCTCGCAGCTCTAGGCTCCGAGATGCCGTTCGGGATGAAGAGGAGGTGGAGGAGGAGGAGGAGGAGAAGGAGAAGGAGAAGGAGAAGGAGATGGAAGGGAGAAGGAGGAGGCGGATGACGTGGATGAGGGAGCAGGCAGGAGGAGGGGGAGGAGGAGGAAGAGGAGGGAGGGAAGGGAGTTGCAGGAGGGGACCTGACGGGAAGCGAGTGTGACGTGGACGTGTCAGAACGTGTGCGAGAGGTTGTCCGGCCCGTTTCGTTTGAGACATCCTTCCAATACTGAGCTCCAAGATGTCGCTCGCGAGGTGGTCCGGCCCGTTTCGATTGAGCCATTCTCGCAATGCGAGGCTAGAAGATGTCGCGCGAGATGGTCTGGCCCGTTCTGCCTGAGACGTTTCGTAGCACAGGGGCTCCAATCACAACCTCTCTCATTCCTTCTCCCGCCTCCCTCTTCCCACTTCCCGCCTGGCTCCTCTTCCCTCCTCCTTCTCCCGCCTCCCGCCTCCCGCTGCTGCGCCTCTGCCTCCGCCTCCCCGTCCCTGCCGTCGTCGTTTCTGCCGCCTCAGCATCCGTCATGCGCGCGCTGCCTTCCGCCCTCCCCAGACATCCGACGTCACGAGTCTTCTTTTGAGATGTGCGCCGCGTACCTCTCGATATCATCCCCGGGGGAACCATCATGACATGCCCCTCCGCTTCCGCGCCCTCCCCCGCTCCCTCTTACAGTTGCTTTCGAGTTCACAGCATGGTGGCGGAGCCTCTCCATAGTGCCGACCCGACAGCTTACTCGTCGACCAGGTGCGAGAGAGTACGACACCCTCCAGCGTTGGCTTCCTGATAGGTATGCTTCACCACAAGTTTTCGTGCAGACATCTCACGTGCAAACATCACATAATCATGTTCTAACATGCCATGCCAGTCCGCACTGGACGGGCACGCGATCGACCTTGGAAACCGCAGTGGGTCTAAAAACCCTGTTTGGGGATTCTGCCCTCCGGCTATACTTTGTTATTCAGGTCGTTTCTTTTTTGAGTTCGGCCTCCGGGGTGGGAACTACCTCCAGAAATGGAGTCGGGACCCCTTGGGCCGCGCATAGAACAAATCCGTCCTCCTCTTTTCTCCTTCCCTCTCTTGCCTTTTTTCCTTCCTGTTATCCTCCGTCGTCCCCCGCTCCTCCTTCCCCCAGCCTGCCCTCTCTTCCTTCTCGACGCCTCTTCCTCCTTATTCGTCCTCTTCTCCCCTTCCCCTTCCAGGCTTATCACATTCGACCAAACGACTCCTAACACTGCTGCAGTTTGCGAACCAGTTCTGATTCTTGTTGGTCAGCGGCGATGGCAAGCGACAGCGCTGTTGAACAGTGGGGCTCCGCGCTGGGCAGGGGAACGCTAGACAAGGTCGTGGATGGGGACGTGGGAGGAGACTTTAGGTCGGAAGTTGGGGCATATACATTTCTAGTGGCGGGCTGTCTTTCAATCCCGGGACGTTTCGAGAGTCGGTAGCGACCTCGGGGCAGTAGTGCGGTGTATACCTGTTTCCCCGCTTTCCCGGGGAAACAGCAATCTATATATATGCATATATATATATATACACACACATAACGGCGCACCGGGTCCGGGGGCCCGGGGCCGGGACCTCGACCACAAATGTGGGCTCCGGGGGGCCCGGAGGCTCGTCGGGGCTTGCCGGAGGCCTCCCCGGTCAGACAAGACGGCCCCAGGAGCGCCCAAGACGGCCCAAGAAACTTCCAAGAGGTCTCCAAGAGGGCTCGGAGATGCTGAAGATGGCCTCCAGACGTCCAAGGACGCCCCCAAGAGGCCCCAAGAAGCCTCCAACATGCGTCCCAAGAGGGCCCCTAGACGCAAAAATTTGCCCATTCCCTTCGTAAAACGTACATTTTCAACAAAGTTGTCTTTTGGGCTTTCCGACGTTACAGGACGGCCCAAGAGGCGCCCAAGACCGCCCCAAGACGGCCCAAGAAGCTTCCAAGAGGGCCCCAGGACAGCCCAAGAGGGCCCCAAGACGGCCCAAGAGGCGCCCAAGATGGCCCAAGAGGGCCCCAAGACGGGCCCAAGAGGGGGCCCAGAGGGGGACCACGAACCGCAAGCTCGAGCCTTCCGCCCCAAGAGGCCGCCAGGAGGCCCCCAGGAGGCCCCTCAAGAGGCCCCAGGAGACCCCAGACGTCCAAGGACGCCCCCAAGAGGCCCCAAGAAGCCTCCAACATGCGTCCCAAGAGGGCCCCTAGACGCAAAAAATTGCCCATTCCCTTCGTAAAACGTACATTTTCAACAAAGTCGCCTTTTTGGCTTTCCGACGTTACAGGACGGCCCAAGAGGCGCCCAAGACCGCCCCAAGACGGCCCAAGAAGCTTCCAAGAGGGCCCCAGGACAGCCCAAGAGGGCCCCAAGACGGCCCAAGAGGCGCCCAAGATGGCCCAAGAGGGCCCCAAGACGGGCCCAAGAGGGGGCCCAGAGGGGGACCACGAACCGCAAGCTCGAGCCTTCCGCCCCAAGAGGCCGCCAGGAGGCCCCCAGGAGGCCCCTCAAGAGGCCCCAGGAGACCCCAGACGTCCAAGGACGCCCCCACGACGCTTCGCGTCACCAATTTCTTCTCACAACGATTCCTGGGTCTGTGACTCGACAGAACCTAAGCGCGCGCGAAGCGCGCGCGTGGTTCTAGTATATATACACATATATATATATATATATAATATATATATATATATATATATATTCACGAGGCTCCCGTATACAGTCGGCTCGGATTCGTAGGTCGACCCTGCCAGCTCAAGGGTACCCATGTGTCCTGTGCCTCGCGGCACGTGCTTTCGTACACTCTTATGGCGATGTGGCCCTCAGAAGGGTCTTGTGTCCTCTCGTGTGTCCTGTCCAATCAAGTCCGACTGTACCCCGACACGTCGATTAAGGAATTGGCCGTTCTCGGTTCGCGAGAGGGCGTCGCGGCCGCCGTTTTTGCGGGTGCAGGTCAGTCGGTTTCGTTCCGAGGCCGTTTTCACGGAGGGGAGGTTTCCTAAAGGGAGGTGTGTCCACCGCCGATAAGGCGGGCGTGTCCTTTTACAGGGGGATTAGTCAACAATAGTCAAACTATAGTTAAGTACCTTTTTTAAAAAACAAAAAATTGTCGGCCAAGAACCCTTTGTACAGGGGGGCGCGTCCGAAAAAAACCTGGTCGCCTGGCTCATCCTTGGCCGCTTTCGCTGGCCGCGCTCCGCCCGCAGAGTGTCGACATGGCCTTCCATGGAATATTCAAAAATTGTTTTTTTTTTTAAAAATAGTTGAGTCAAAAATAGGAGGTGTCCTGCCCAATCAGGGCCGACTGCGCACCAGGACCCGCTTTCCCCTGTGCGCACGCCAGCGCGGGGCCGGAGACGGCGTCGGCGCCTGGAGCTCGGCCCCTCGGTGGGGGGGGGGAGCGCGGGAGGAGGCCGCAGGCGTAGAAGAGGCTCTTCGCCACGGGGTGCGCGCAGGCGGTCTCGTGCAGGAGGGGGGGGAGGGGGAGGCGGAGGGGGAGTAGGAGGAGGAGTAGGAGGAGGAGGAGGAGGAGGAGGAGGAGGAGGAGGAGGAAGAGGAGGAGGAGGGGTCAGGTACTGGAAGGCCAGCGGCCAGTGCAGGCTGCGGAAGGCGAGGGCAGCTCGGCCCAAAGTGGCGAGGCACGCCACCGTCCTCGGCCACGCGCAGAGGGGGGGGCAGGGGGAGAGGCCCGGGGAGGGGGATAGGCTTCTCAGAAGCACGCCTGCTTCTTAAAAGGCGCGGGCCTTGTCTGCAGATGTAAGGCCGGCGCCTTCTAAGAAACCGCCTCATTCCAAGAAGCCTTCCTCCCTCTCCCTGCCCCCCTGTGCGCGCCGCCAGCATCCACTGGGCGGGAGGCAACGGTCAGGGGAGGACAAAAACACCCGGACCCGCCTGCGTCTGTCTTGGAGGGCCTCGGCTGACGAGCACACGTGGGCGCTATAACAGACGTTCGGATCGTGCTGCGAGGCAACCCTTCAGCTGCCCCTGCCGCCCACGGCTGTCGCCCCGCACGGGCCCTACTGCCGCCGGCGCCCATCCCAGATCTCCGTTTACTCTGGATGGGGTAATCATCAAGGGGGGGCGTGATTGACTTCAAGGGGGGCAAGCCCACCCAGACCCCGACAGTTGGCGTTTGCTGAACGGCCTTGGGCCTCGACCGCACAGCCCTACCATGTTCGATTCCTGCTATGGTCTAGGTCTCCCGGATGGGGTCGGAGTAGGTGATGTCGGAGGACCGCGCCGCATCGCCGATGCATGGCCGATGCGGCTCGATGTGGAGCCCGATGTTCTGCACCCGTGGCGTCGCCTATGCACCGCCGATGGCGCCGATGCATCGCCGCTGCATCGCCGATGTATCGGCGATGCGGTGCGATCCTCCGACCCCATCTACTCCGACCCCATCCAGGAGGTCTCTATCTGGGCGCGTCCACTGCTTGGCTCCGCGCGTCGGGGGGATCGTTCTCAGGGTGGTCGTTCTGCTCTCTGCAGCAGTGCCTGAGCCGGGCCAGGGGCCGTCGGCGGCCTCGGTTCGGGCCGGACGAACGGGGGGGATTGGGAAAGGGGGGGGGTGCGAAATTTGCTGCATGCAGCTGGTGTCGGCCCCACCGAGGGGTCCATTCCTCGATACATGGCCGCCTCAGGCGCCGGGAGGCGCCGGGAAAGTCAGCTACGTGAGCTGATTCTCGACCCCCCCCTTTGCTATCCCCCCCTTTCGCCCGACCCGATCGGTCTGCGCAGCCGGGAGCGCCGTGCTCTCTGGGTGCGTTCGGCAGCCGCGCCGCTTCTCCGGCGGGCTTCGGCCGCCCGCCCTCGGGCTTGGCGCCCCGTGCGCGGGCTCCTCGATTTCGGCGCCCGCGCAGACCCGCTCGCGCTGCTCCCCTGATGCGCACTGCCCTGTTCGCCTCGCAGCGTCTTGGGGGTCGTCGTCGTCCTCGTCGTCCTCGTCGTCGTCGTCGTGGTCCTCTGCGTCGTCGGCGTCGGCGTCGTCGTCGTCGTCTGCTTCGTCGTCGTCGTCAACGTCCTCGTCGTCGTCCTCGTCGTCCTCTGCGTCGTCTGCGTCGTCGTCTGCGTTGGCGTCTGCCTCGTTGTCGTCTCCGTCGTGGTCGTCAACGTCCTCGTCGTCGTCCATAATTGAGCTATGCGCAGTTTTTACCGTAGCCCACGCAGTTGCGGGCAAGAGTGATGGTGGAGTAGGATCTCCGGGAGCCTGCGATGTTTGAAGGCAAGCTCGATGAAGCCCGCCGCAGGCGCAGATTCTGTTACACACGACAACCAGCCTGCTGCAGGCGCCGAATTACAAGTCAAAGAGATGCGGGCGAGTCGCGGATGCACCGCGGGCGGATCGTGGGCGGGTCGCGGGCGGCCCGCGGCCGGGTCGTGGGCGAGGCAATAATTTCAATATTGTTTGTGCTTCGCTTCCCGCGTGTCAATCAACATGTATATCCCCTGCATCCGCCCTCTTCGGCCTCGATTTTTCTTCTCTCGGGGGCATGAGTTCCTTTCCTGCCACGCGTAGGTGGGTGTGGGCGAGCGGGCGAGTATCAGCCACGCGCAGAGGGGGGTGGGAGGAGGGGGGAGGGCTTCTTAGAAGCACCCCTGCTTCTTAGAAGGCGCGGGCCTTGTCTGTAGATGTAGGGCCGGCGCCTTCGAAGAGGCCGCCTCCTTCTAAGAAGCCCTCCCCCCTCCCTCCACCCCCTTGTGCGCGCCGCCGAGAGGAGTGCGGGAGGGAGGAGGAGGGCAGGGGCCACGGAGGAGGGAGGAGGGAGGGAGGGAGGGAGGAGGGAGGATGGAGGAGGGAGGGAGGGAGGAGGGAGGGAGGAGGAGGAGGGAGGAGGAGGAGGAGGGAGGGGCAGGGATGGAGGACAGGAGGGCTCTGCAAGGGAGGGGAAGCGGCAGGGCCGGACGGGCGGGCCGAGGCTGCGACCCTGCCCGTGCGGGTGGGGCGGGCGGGCCAAGGACGGCCAGGTCGAGCGGGCGGGTCGCTGAAGCGTCAGCCCTGCATGGGTCGAGGAGGAGGAGGAGGAGGAGGAGGAGGAGGAGGAGGAGGAGGAGGAGGAGGAGGAGAGTGAAGCGGGTAAGTCTCTAGCGGTCGCACGGGTCCCAAGTACATCGTCCAGGGGGTGCAGAGCGAGGGCGCGGTTCCCGAGCGTCGAGAGCTCGGCGCAGGGAAACGAGTGTCAGGACGTCCCACGCGAGAGCGCGCTTCGCAGGAGAACTGCAGGGAGGCCCCGAGAGGGAGCGCGCTTCTACCATACATTGTGGTGAAGTGTCCAGCGAGAGCCGCTGTTGTTTTCAACTGGGGGCCAACTTCACAATTTGCTCCCCCTGGCAGGAAACAGGGTGCGAGCCCCGGGAGGGGCACACCAGTTGAAACAAACAACACGTGTTACCAGAGGGTGGGACCGACAACAGTTATTCTTCTGAAGTGCAGCTCCACGAGCAAGCAAAATCCGCGCCGCGGAATCCCACCTCAGCCAAGAACCCAGGGAAGGTGTAAGATCGTTCGGCCCCCTCGCTCTGACGTGGGGGCTCCCGCGCTGTGTTGTTGCCATCGTTCTTGGTTTCTGGCCCCATAGGGAGCGCTCCGCTGACGGCCGCAGCGGCAGTGCTCACATGCGTCCCCCCACCCATGTCGGCACACCCCTCACATCTTCTGTGGCCCCCTAGGGAGCTCCGCCGAAGGCCCCAGTGGCAGTGCTCACATGCGCCCTGCCGCAATCTTCGGTACACCCCTCACATGTGTCTTGGCCCCACGGGGATCTCCACCGCAGGCCCCAGTGGCAGTGCTCACCTGCGTGTCCCTCCCCCCCAATGCGGCACACCCCTCACACGTTTCGCGGCCTCATAGGGAGCTCCACCGCAGGCCCCTGCGGCATTGCTCGCGCCCCCCCCCCCCCGCACGTTTCGGCACACCCCTCACACGTTTCGCTGCCTTGTAGGGAGTCCACCAAGTGTCGACACATCCCTCACATGCTTCGTGGCCCCATTGGAAGCTCCATTGAAGACGATGCTCACAATGGTATTAGCCACAACTGCATATGGTTGGGTCTTTCGCCCGGATCTTTGGGCCAGGGTTTCTGGCTTGGCCCAGCCAAGTTCCGCACCCCCCTCATACGTTTCGTGGCCCCACAACGAGCTCCGCTGATGCCTCCAGCGGCAGTGCTCCCATGCGTAACCCCACCCGTTTCGGCCTCTCCTCGCACGCTTTGTGGTCCCACAGGGAGCCCCACTGAAGACGATGCAATGCTCACAATTGCCGTGCTCACAACTGCAAATGGTGAAGTCGTTTGCCCAGATCCCTTGGGGGCCAGCGTTCTTGGCCTGTCCCGAAAGCCAGACAGAGGTGCGCAGGTGCGCCAGTCGCCTTGGCTCCAGTGCCGCTGGGCAGGGCAGCTCGCCGATGCCCCCGACACCGTGCCACACCGATCGCACCCGTGCAGCTCCAAGTCCTGCGCTGCGACGTTTGACGCGTCCTCTGGCACAGTCGACTGGGTACTCCCTTCTCTTTCTCTTCTCCCTCTCCCACTATCTCTCCCTCCTCCCCTCCCTCCTCCCCTCCCTCGTCCCCTCCCTCGCCCCCTCCCCTCCCCTCCCCTCCTCGCCCCCATGCTGCCCCGCCCTCTCCCCGATGGATCACCCTCCGTTCCTCCTCCCGCCTGGCCCAGCTCCGCTCCAAGTCACTCCCAGGCCTGGCCCGTGGCCTCGACCGGCCCCCTCAGTTACCCTTCCCCCCGTGCTCTCCCCTCCTGCCCCCCCCGGCCAGCACAGGTGGACGGCAGCACCGAGACCCTGCTCGGCTCGGGCGTCTATACGTGCCGCGGGGTGTGTGGGAGGAGGAGGAGGAGGAGGAGGAGGAGGAGGAGGAGGAGGAGGAGGAGGAGGAGGAGGAGGAGCCCTGCCTCCAGGTTCCTTGCATGCTGACAGGTCCCTATGCAGGAATGTATGTCCACTGCCGGGAGTGCCCTATTGAACGACAAGCGTCCAGGAATCCCCAATCGTGGCGAAACGCCATCCCTATAGGACTTCACCGCCGCGAGTCCACGTGACTCTGGCGCGTGTGGACGCCTGTGACGGGCTGGCTCGCTATGGCGGGTCGGGCCGGGGAGCCCCGGCCCCGGCCCGGGCTCCGGCCCCCGGTCCCCGGCCCCGCCCCCTGGCAGCCAAGCGCGCAGAGGGCAACGGGGGAGGGCTGCTTAGAAGCACCCCTGCCTCTTAGAAGGCGCGGGGGACTCACCTATAGATGTAAAGAGGCAGCCTCCTGCTACCAAGACCCCCGACGTAATGCTTTGTTCGTTGCGTCGACCCCCAGAGGTCCCGACCCTCACTGCTCGAGCGGTTCTGGGTATGAAGCATGACGCCCCCCCTCCTCCCTCTACCCCCCTTTTGCGGCGCGCCAGCAGCCCTAGCCGTGGCCCCGGCCCGGGGTCTAAGACCTCGGCCCCCGGCCATGGCCCCGGCCCAAGGCCCTGGCCCAGGCCCCGACACCGGCTCCTGCCCGCCTCCCCCTCCTCCTCCTCCTCCTCCTCCTCCTCCTCCACCTCTTCCTCCTCCTCCCTCCTCCTCCTCCACCCTCCATCTCTGTCCTCCTCATTCTCCTCCTCCCCACCTCCTCCTCCTCCTCCTCCTCCTCCTCCAATTCCATGTCCTCTCCTCCTCCTGCTCCTCCTCCTCCTCCTCCCTCCCTCCCTCCATCCCTCCCTCCTCCTCCTGCTCCTCCTGCTCCTCCTGATCCTCCTTCTCCTGCTCCTCCTCCTCCTCCTCCTCCTCGTCCCCCTCCTCCATCTAGGAGCTGATGTGGCTCTAAGCAAAACAGAATCTCCCACCACTCCTGCCACACCGTACAACCCATGGGTGGAGGCAAATCCAATGCGGGGCGGTAGGCCTAGGTCGGCCTGCTGTACCTAGTGTCCCTTGCCTCCACCCGCATGAATCTTGTCAATGGTACCACGAGTTGTCGCTCACACTGTGGAGTGGACGGATTACACGCGATTGGAAGAGAGATCGACCCTCCTCCCGACCACCGACATGTTGTTGCTGAGTGCGACGGGGCGCGCAGCCATGAAGGACGATGATATGGCTCAGACCAACTTGCCCAACCACACGCACATGCAGTGTGGCCATCGCAACTCCCGATGGGCACATCGATCATGTGGACTTGCAGTGCTGTACAGCTCCACGCTCAGGGGCACACCTTGCAGTAGACACTGTTCCCACACAGGTCGCGGGGTATAGCAGGCCGCATTGCCATGGCAAGGCTTCGTATTGGTTCGACGACAGTGGAATTCTTCCCCATTTACTTGCCGCCGAAGGGTACTGCGCCATCCATATGTAAAGAGATGGTTGACAAGTGTATGGCTTGGTTCACAGAAGCGGTTGACAAGCTTGGACAGCAGTGCGTGGTCATCATGGGCGGCGACCCCCATTGCTTCTTCGGCATACGGCGAGACACAACTGGCAAAAACTATTATCGAGCTGATGAGATGGTGGGCTCGCCGAACCCAAGCATGGAGACAGCAGTTTCACAACGTATTCGAGACGCACCTGGAGAGAAATAGTTTGGCAGTTGGCAGCAGCTTCTGGAATACAGGACCAACATATTACAGCGGCTCGTCGAGCAGCAAGATCGACCATTACATCGTGCCCACGTCATGCTTGCAGAGGATCACCACGACGCGCACTTTGAAGCGGCTCGGCCGAAGTCTACATCGACGGGAAACCACACTGCCGCAGGACCACGTGCCGCTGATGCTCGAGATCGACACCTGTGCGGAGCAAGAACACAAAGGATCTCATCACCCCCGAGTTAATCTATATTCTCTCATGGGGGGCGTGCGCGGGCACTTGCGCATAGACTATTTGGAGGAGATTGAACGGCATGCCGAAGAAATCCCCGAATATACTTAGAGGGAAATGTGTGACCGAGGCGACGTGCAAAGCGGCTGGGATTTGTTGCGAGAGCGCATTCACAAAAGTTTAATGAAGATCTCTCCCCTTGGCGAACACCCGTCTCAGAAGTACGAGTACACGCATAAGGAGCGATGGATTTAATGCGGAGGGGAGATTTGCACGACAAAGGCGGGGACTTGGCCCAAGTAAGGCGTTTACCAAAATTAATCCTCAGCTATCTGCGCACGGCGTAGTATGTGAACGACTGGGCGCCATTACTCGCGAGCTTCAAGCAGCAAGACGGCGACGCACATTGGAGAGGCGCACTGGGACCGCTGAGAAATTCGCGAGAGCTTGGAAAAGACGCGATTGGTCGCGAGTACATAGTTTGAAGACTTCTCTATCAGGCACTTTTCGAGGCTCGAGGACGCGTACAAGTTCTGGGGCAATGCGTGATTCTGGACACCGCCACAAAAGGACTTGCCGAGAAAGCTGAAGACGGCGGACTGGAAGCAAAAACAGTTGATTGAACAGAGCTGGCAGCTGATGGTCGAATTATTACCCAAGTTGGCGCCGCCAGGCCTAGGCAAGGTCTGATAATGTATCTCCGGCGCGCTCCCAAGAGGCGCGCGCGCCCAGCCTGGGGGGTCATTTTTGAGGCGCGGCAGATCTCAATATATATATATATATATATATATGAAGACCTACTCTTGAGGACGACGGCACGCACTTCTTCATCCCACGCGCCTTCCCCCGCATGTATAACGACCACCTCGCCCCTATCCGGATGGTAGAGTTCATGCATGTGAGCGCAGTGCGGCCGTGCGCTTTCTCCCAGCCCTAGCATCATGGCTCACGCGGTATAAGGGACAGCGCACATTGCAATGTTATGACGCGTTCGGCATGAATTGTAATGGGCAGTTCCTGAAGCGCACAGAGAGACCCACACCGAAGGATTTCGCACGCAGAGGTATGCGAGGTCGTCCGTTGTGAGGGGTGCCTGCTCGCCCTTCCCTCGGCAGCATGGCGCTGCGCAGATGCACGAGTGTTGCGCGCGCGTGCGAACTACGACGGCTCGGACGCGTTCGCTTGCACAAATCGGAAATACTTTCGCTCATCGCACTGCAGTGCAGCACAGCCAGAGCAGCAATTGCACATGCCCGCGGCGATCGAGCATGGCACCGTGCACGTGAACGCTATAGACGGGGAGCAGGACGATCGAGCCGATCGTGGGACCGCCATGGGGCACACCCTGGCTGCAGCTGACTTAGTGGGCGTCTTCGCCCCAGGGATTGAGACGCGGTCTGACAAGATGCGACAGGGGGATTTCAGTTACCAGCTCCTCACTGGGCGCAGCGTAATATCTCAGAAGGTGAACGACATAAGGGGTTAGCACGTTCGTCGGCGATATCGCGCGCATGCATGTTCGCGCATTTAAGCCAGCTTCACAACGCATAGCAGTACAACTCAATCATGCACTTGATCTACTGAACAGCAAAGTTTTAATGCTGGGCATCATCTAAACAAACACCAAAAAAACACACATCGTGAATATCGTCGGGCAGGGGGCTTTTGCATGCGTCAAGCAGATGTGCGCGCCGCCTGAGGTGAAGGACACTGCCGACCGTGAGGCGAGGCTCCTCGGCCCGATTCTTCCCTGCGGCGGCGCGCTGCGCACGGGGCTGCAGAACATAATTGAAGCAGCGCGTGCTGGATGGCGATCGCTAGGGCGTGCCGGGCACCAGCCGCTCCCGCGCAGGCTGACGCGGGTGTTCTTATTATGCTCTGTTTTCGGCGGCTGTATCTGGACTGTCAGCGCTTGTGCCGCCTGAAGATTTCGCTGATCGGTTGGGCGGCGCGATCGCAAAAATGCCTCGGGGACGGATGAGAGGCAGAGCGGCGGTCGCGACTGACGCCGGCCGCATTCGCAGCATGCCTTCCAGGGCGGTATTCTCTTTCTGGGGCGCATCGCCCATTGCCGTCGAGCTCCAGCTGCAACGTTTGAGGTGGGTCAGGGCGATCGCCAGGGGCCCCGCGAATCACGAGCAAGTGCTCATGGGAGTTTCCAGGGCCGCGAGATTGGATGCTGCGTCGAGCGCCGCCGTTTAGACAACGCTGGCAGATTTAACTACTCCGGCAAAAGCGGCGCAACAGCGCAGCGACTTGTAATTCCAGGTCCAGGGCGCGCGTTCAAGACTAGATTGCACGAGCGGGTGGCACGACACGCAGAACATCATTGCACTTTTTCAACGACGGAGTAGCAGCATTGGTTGTCAAGAAATTCAAGGCTGGCGAGCCCATTCTGCGCGCGCGGTTAGAACGCGTACGCGACGACGAACGAGGAGCACGAGGACACATCGTGCACGATGGGGGGGAGGAATACGAGGGGGAGTCTCTCTGCGTGCATGAGTTGGCCGACGGCGCAGCATGTGGGACCGCCTTTCCTTTTATGAGGGCTCTGAACGCTTGCGTCACCCTCGCTCATCAGCTACGAAACGAATGCCCGCGAGCCATGCGCGCGAAGACATGCCCATGGTTTCAGGCATCAGTCGCAAGGAAGGCCCCGTGCCTGCGACATGTTTGGGCTATGGTGGCCAAGCGACCGCGCAGATGCCCAGCCCGCTCTGTATCCGTCGACTTTCGGGCCGAACCAGACCCCCCCTACGCGCGTGGTCACTGCGGTATTTCACATCACTATCTTCGCACTCACCTGCAGCGCGTGCAAGAGCCCGTACCAGGACCAGAAGCTGAGGATGCACGCAGCAGGATGGATGCCGACAGCGTCGGGGCCGCGCCCGAGATCAGACGCACTCGACGCTGCCGGCCAGGCAACTGCCCCCCCCGCTCTGCGGCCACGTCAACTAGCAGCACCAGGTGGCCCCCCAACACAGTGCGACTGCTGGGATTGGATTGCCAGCCGAGAGCGACGCGGTGACGACGCTCCAGCGCGTGGCCCTCGACACCATGCAGATGTCGAGGCACCTGGCGGGCTCGGTGTGGGGCTTCTACTTGATCCCTCAGAACGAGGCGACGGATCAGGGCACGGAGATGGCGGCTGCCTTCGCGGAGAAGGTGGGGGCAGGCGAGAGCGACTTGGGCAGCCCACATCTACATATCGCGGTCGTCTCCTTCGGGGGTCTGGCGCAGATGGTGTTGCCGGGCCCATCGAAAGAGATATTCGGCACTTTCGCTATTTTGTTGGAAACGATTTCACGGCCTGCGCGTGGGGGACCTCGCCCCGCACTTTCGTCTCAAGCAAGCGCATTGCGAGGGGGGCCAGCCGAAGAAGTACAAGCTGCAGATCATACACAGCGCGCTCGCAGTCAGCCCGTTCCAGGACGGACACCTCATCGGCGAGATCAACAAAGCGAGCGGGCAGAACGCGGAGGGCTCGCAAGAACAATTGGAGGCGCCGCCGATCGCGGCCCAGCAGTCTCGCCGGGGCGCCCACTCGGCACTGCTTCACTTGGGAGGCAAGCCCGTGCAGGGGCCGGCTCCACCGAACGCGGTGGAGCGCGCGCTCCAGAACCAGCTTCGCGCGCGCCAGATGTGAGATACGCAGCAGTCGACGCGCAAGGGCTACGCCGAAAAGCCAGGCAGGGTAGCACGCGTGCGAGAGACATGCTGAACCGCATGGGGCTGCGATAAGACGCTGTCGCATTGCGCTTCTGCAGCATGCTCGAAATTGAAGTGCATGCGATGCGCGATATCATTGGCGATTGCAATTGCAGCTACCTTATCTCTCCTTCGACGGCTTCGGCGTTCTGTTGGAAGAATTTAATGAAGAGCGTGCTATATCAACTGAGGCTGTTTCAACCTCTTTCAGGTGAGACAACGCAGTAGCCGCATCGTCGCCCCCCCCCGTTTTGCTGGATTGCTCGCGTCTTGGGCTCTTGGGCTCCAGGGGCCTGGCTTTGGCCGAGGCTCAACGGCCGACGCCCTTCTGCTAGGAGTCGGTTCTCCTGAGGCGCGGCGACGGCAAAGTTGCCATCCGACTCTCGACGGGGTGCGACCCCAGGGCCTGCGGGAACCTTCGAAGCCTTGCTCAGCCGAATACCTGGCCGACTGGCTAGTGAGCCACCCGTTACCTTCTGCCCCGTACGCGCTCCTCTTCGCAGCCTGGACTTCAACAGCTAGGATTCCTGCACTCTCGGGACACGTGCGCGCGGCTTCAGAGTGCGGCATGTTGTAGTATAACTCTCCGTGCCTTGAGCATGCACGCTGTACACTTATACACCTGTATAGCAAAGTGGGCACGCGATGCGCGCAACATTATATAACTTTTGCCCTGAACGTCCACTAGGCACGTTACTACACACAGCTGCAGGCTGGGAGGGCTGAGCCCGAGTGTTTCGCCTTCTCGTTCTGCTAACAGTCGGAGGTTTGAGACGGCCTAGGGCCGACGAGGGGACCTAGGCTTTATAGGCCCCCACAGCCTCCCTCAGGCGCCCTACCGCCTCGGCCAAAAACTGAACCAGCAGCAATTCAGGACGCTGATAGGCGCCTGTTCCTCGTAGGCTCGCGCCCCCGCGCGTCGGAGCCGAACTGTTGCCGAGGTCGCTCGCTCGTTCGGTCCTCCTCCATCTCCTCCCCCCCCCCCTCCTCCCTCCCTCCTCCTCCCTCCTCCTCTCCTCCTCCTCCTCCTCCTCCTCCCCCCTCCTCCTCCTACTCCTCCTCCTCCCCCTCCTCATCTCCTCCTCCTCCTCCTCCCCTCCTCCTCCTCCTCCTTCTCCCTCCTCCTGTCTCGGGTCGCCTACGGGCCTGCGGCCCCAGGGGAAACCGTGCACCAGGGCCCCTTCCAACGAAAACGCTTCGAAAAGGGGGCGCCCCCCCCCGCTCTCCCCCCCCCCCTCCGCCACCTTTCCATAGCGAAGCTTTGGCAAGTTCGCGCTCGCGCTCTTACTCTGTCAGACTCAGGCGCCGGATCGGCGGATATTCGGAACCTGCCGATGCAATTTACGGCACGGCTGGAAGCTTCCATTGCATTTTGAGGGCATATGGAATGGCAAATGCAGTTTTGTACCCTTGTGGAGGCAATCGTTCCTATACTTTGTCTGTCGGATACGACTGGGACCGTCCAAAAACCAGCTGGAACACGCCCACCCCCGTCACTGTATGAAACTTGTCTTCCCCTCTTCCCTTTCCCCCGTTCCCGCCTTCGTCCTGGGCACAACTGTCTGGGCCGTTGGGCAGTCCACGATTTATTCCAGGCACGGCGGCTTGTCGAAATTGTGTATATGTCGGCTCTCCCACTTTTCTAGAGGTAATTAGTGATGGCGATGATGATGGTGGTGACGATGACGGTGATGCTGCGGTGATGGAAGCAACGACCAGAATGGTGAGGAGGAGTGAGAGGACGATGGGGGAAAACGAGGAGGAAAAGAAAGATGATGGGTTCTGAGGCAATACAGCCGTTCGGACAAGCCGTGACCGAAAGCGGGCCATGGTCCATATCGATGTGCGGCCGTCGACGGATGAGTAATAGTGGATGGTCTCTTTCTCTTTCTCTCCGTGCCCTTCCTCTCCATTATCTGCCTATGCCTGTCCGAAGAGCCAAATTTCGGAGATACCTGGTTCCCGGAGGGGCACCACTCCTGGGAGACGTGCGCGGGTAGGGCGCGGGAAAGGAGGAGAGAGAACTCTCTCCCCTGCATTTGGGCGAGAGGCGTGGCAGGAAGGGAGTTGAGGAGAGAGGGCGTGCAACGAGAAACCACTGTTTGTCCTTCTGTTTCCTCAAGCCCCATCTCTCCTTGTAGCTTTCCCAAGCCCAAATCATGATATCTCCCAGCGTTCTCTCCGTTTTCCCTCATTTGTCTCCTTGCTGCGATGGTGAGGGGATCGTCTCGTCTTCCCCATCCTCTCTCCGACCCCTCCCATCGAGGCGTCACCATTCTATCCTCTCTCTTCGGTTTCGTCCATTTCGACCTCTCCTCCGCTCGCCCTCGCCATTCCCCCTCCCCTCTTGAACAGGTGCACCTCCCTGATGAGGAGCCAGTGCCACCCCTCGCCCGCGATCGTGACCATCACGTCGAGCGACAATTCGGAGGCGGGACCCCGTGTCGGCCTCGCGGCAGGGCGGGGGAGCAGGGGGAGGCGAGGGGCCGTCGGCTGCAGCGCCTGGGGTGCTCGGCTCACCGTCGGCGCGGGGATGTATTCTCGGGCGAGAAGCGCCCCATCGTCTGGCTTACGGTGAAGTCGGGCCTGTCCCCCGACAGGGGGAGTATCCAAAAACAGTCCAACGATGGTCTGGGGACGAGCCGTGTTAGGCACTGTGCTGACTATGTTGGGGTATGTTTGGGAGCATCCTTTCTTTCTCGCCCAAGATCCCCCTGCACGAGGACGTGCCCCACCGAAGCTTACGAAGGCCTCGCGCAGCCCGGCGCCACCTCGCTCCACCCTGCTGCTTCCTGCTGGGCCCCACCCCCGGAGGGAGGAGAAACGATGCCAACACCACCAGGGGGCCCACCTCCAGCGAGGAGGTTCATGATACCTCCCCGAGCTGGTGGTTGGGGATGTCTCGACCGAGAGGGGGGGACCACACCACCAGGGAGATCCCCCTTGCCTCCTCGCGTCTCCTCGCACTGGTGGTGTTGGTGTCGCCTCTCTTTGTTCCTACACCTGGCCTCCGAGCGCACCGGCTTCTGCGGGCCGGGGACGCCTGCTGAGAGCGTGCCGCGCCGCTGGCCCTGGCCCGCCACGCTGCGGCGCGGCACACCAGCCTCCAGTCGGGCGTGTCCCTCTACAGGAGGAATCTCCAAAAAGAGTCAAACAATTGTCTGGGGACTATTTTCCCTTCCATGTTTTGACATGTATTTGATGCTTTCTTGGACATGTTCGCCCAGAGTCCGCCTGTAGGGGGACGTGCCCGACCTGACGCTGGCCATGTCCCCATACCCGGGCGTCAACGTCTCGGGCTCTTCCGAGCCTCCCGCCCCGCGGCGACGCGGCGTCCGCTTGCAAGGCGTGTAGCGCGTCGCGGGGGGCCGCCGTAGCGACGCGTGAGGCACGAGATATTGACCGTAGTGGCACGTCAATCGGGCTCAGCAGCTGTGCCCTGCTCCCAGCAAGACCTCCCAGGCGACGCGTGAAGCAAGGGATCGTGACCGCGGCGGCACGTCAATCGGACTCAGCAGCTGTGCCCTGCTCCCAGGAAGACCTCTCAGGCGACGCGTGGAGCAAGGGATCGTGACCGCGGTGGCGCATCAATCGGGCTCAGCAGCTGCGCCCTGCTCCCAGGAAGACCTCTCAGGCGACGCGTGGAGCAAGAGATTGTGACCGCGGCGGCACGTCAATCCGGCTCAGCAGCTGTGCCCTGCTCCCAGCAAGACCTCCCAGGCGACGCGTGAAGCAAGAGATCGTAACCGCGGCGGCACATCAATCGGGCTCAGCAGCTGTGCCCTGCTCCCAGCAAGACCTCCCAGGCGACGCGTGGAGCAAGGGATCGTGACCGCGGCGGCACGTCAATCGGGCTCAGCAGCTGTGCCCTGTTCCCAGGAAGACCTCTCAGGCGACGCGTGGAGCAAGGGATCGTGACCGCGGTGGCGCATCAATCGGGCTCAGCAGCTGCGCCCTGCTCCCAGGAAGACCTCCCAGGCGACGCGTGGAGCAAGAGATCGTGACCGCGGCGGCACGTCAATCGGGCTCAGCAGCTGTGCCCTGCTCCCAGCAAGACCTCCCAGGCGACGCGTGAAGCAAGAGATCGTAACCGCGGCGGCACATCAGTCGGGCTCAGCAGCTGTGCCCTGCTCCCAGCAAGACCTCCCATGCGACGCGTGAAGCAAGGGATCGTGACCGCGGCGGCACGTCAATCGGACTCAGCAGCTGTGCCCTGCTCCCAGGAAGACCTCTCAGGCGACGCGTGGAGCAAGGGATCGTGACCGTGGTGGCGCATCAATCGGGCTCAGCAGCTGCGCCCTGCTCCCAGGAAGACCTCCCAGGCGACGCGTGGAGCAAGAGATCGTGACCGCGGCGGCACGTCAATCGGGCTCAGCAGCTGTGCCCTGCTTCCAGCAAGACCTCCCAGGCGACGCGTGGAGCAAGGGATCGTGACCGCGGCTGCACGTCAATCGGGCTCAGCAGCTGCGCCCTGCTCCCAGCAAGACCTCCAAGGCGACGCGTGGAGCAAGGGATCGTGACCGCGGCGGCACGTCAATCGGGCTCAGCAGCTGTGCCCTGCTTCCAGCAAGACCTCCCAGGAGACGCGTGGAGCAAGGGATCGTGACCGCGGCTGCACGTCAATCGGGCTCAGCAGCTGTGCCCAGCAAGACCTCCCAGGCGACGCGAGGAGCAAGAGATCGTGACCGCGGCGGCACGTCAATCGGGCTCAGCAGCTGTGCCCTGCTCCCAGGAAGACCTCCCAGGCGACGCCAAGAGATCAGTCAATCGGGACGCCTCCCAGGCGACGCAAGAGATCGTGACCGCGGCGGCACGTCAATCGGGCTCAGCAGCTGTGCCCTGCCTGCTCCCAGCAAGACCTCCCAGGCGACGCGTGAAGCCGTGACCGCGGCGGCACGTCATCGGGCTCAGCAGCTGTGCCCTGCTCCCAGCAAGACCTCCCAGGCGACGCGTGGAGCAAGAGATCGTGACCGCGGCGGCACGTCAATCGGGCTCAGCAGCTGTGCCCTGCTCCCAGGAAGACCTCTCAGGCGACGCGTGGAGCAAGAGATCGTGACCGCGGCGGCACGTCAATCGGGCTCAGCAGCTGTGCCCTGCTCCCAGGAAGACCTCTCAGGCGACGCGTGGAGCAAGGGATCGTGACCGCGGCGGCACGTCAATCGGGCTCAGCAGCTGTGCCCTGCTCCCAGCAAGACCTCTCAGGCGACGCGTGGAGCAAGAGATCGTGACCGCGGCGGCACGTCAGTCGGGCTCAGCAGCTGTCCCCTGCTCCCAGCAAGACCTCCCAGGCGACGCGTGGAGCAAGGGATCGTGACCGCGGCGGCACGTCAATCGGGCTCAGCAGCTGTCCCCTGCTCCCAGGAAGACCTCCCAGGCGACGCGTGGAGCAAGGGATCGTGACCGCGGCGGCACGTCAATCGGGCTCAGCAGCTGTGCCCTGCTCCCAGCAAGACCTCCCAGGCGACGCGTGGAGCAAGGCATCGTGACCGCGGTGGCGCATCAGTCGGGCTCAGCAGCTGTCCCCTGCTCCCAGGAAGACCTCTCAGGCGACGCGTGGAGCAAGGGATCGTGACCGCGGTGGCGCATCGATCGGGCTCAGCAGCTGCGCCCTGCTCCCAGGAAGACCTCCTAGGCGACGCGTGGAGCAAGGGATCGTGACCGCGGTGGCACATCAATCGGGCTCAGCAACTGCTGTCCCCTGCTCCCAGGAAGACCTCCCAGGCGACGCGTGAAGCAGGAGATCGTGACCGCGGTGGCACATCGATCGGGCTGAGCAGCTGCTGTGCGCTGCTCCCCGGGCAGGCCTCCCGGGAGTTGCCGCTGGAGGGGCTCTCAACCGCCACCCGTCCCTCGTCGCCACGGCTGGATTCGCCCAGGAGTCCTGGTCAGAAAGCGCCCCTTGGATAGGTCAAGGGAGTAGCGCTATCGGTATATATATATATATGTGTTTATATGTATACATATATATATATATGTATTTATCTACCCCTATCTACATATATATACTCTCCTTGAGTGGGAGGTGCACGTCGTTTCCATGTTGTGGCCAGAGTTTGGCGGAAGGGCAGTGGTCACCCAAGCAAGGCCGCCAGGTCGAGCGAGGTTCAAGTGTTTCCATGTTCACCCAGCGCGCGAACATGTAATTAACTCATTCACTCGGTTTGTGTGTGACTCCTTTTTTGTTTGTGCTGGTGTTCTCTTTCGCTCTCTCTACATTTATGTATGTACATATACATATATATAAAGATATACCCCTCTCTGGTTACATCTTTCTCTCTCTCTCTCTCTGTCCTCTGTCTCTTTCTGTTTCGTTTGCTATAGTTTGTGTTGTGTCTCGTTCCCTCTCTGCCTGTGTCTGTATCTGCCTCCCTCTCTCTCGCTCTCTCTCTCTCTCTCTCTCCCTTGCCCGCATGTAGTGCGTTATACAATTGCACGCAAACTCTATGTCCAGCCTCCATTTCCGAATTCGGCTACAGATGGTGCATCTCTTCTTACATGTGTCACAGTCTATCTTGCTATGTATCTTTTGTATTTCCATCCGCGTCTCTGTTTCAACTATCCGTCTCCGTATCTTTGTGTCCGCAGACTCTTTCCGTCATGCCAGTTTTCCCCGATCCCTCCCCTCTGCCCCATCCTCTTCTTGCATTCGCCGCCCTCAGGTTGCCGCGGTGGAGCTGGCGGTGGTGTGGGACGAATCCCCAGACCCTTGGTTTGCCAGCCACATTCGTGGCGGGAGGGTTGGACATGTCGCCACCGCCGACGCCATCGCCACCGCCCACGCCTCCCCCGCCGTCGTCGTCGTCGTCGGCGTCGTCGTCGTCGTTGTCGTCGGCGTCGTCGGCGATGTCGGCGTCGTCGTCGTCGTCGTCGGCGTCGTCGTCGGCGTCGTCGTCGTAGTCGTCGAGGTCGTCGGCGTCGTCGTGGTCTTCGTCGTCGTCACCGTGGTCGTCGGCGGCGTTGCCGTCGGCGATGCTGCAGGCCTCCGCCGAGGAGTGGTCGCCGCGCCCGCCGACGGCTCGACTTTGGCAGACCCCTGGCGCGGGCTGCGCACCGCGCGCCGAAGCCGCTGCATCGCGCCGACGCGGCGAGGCGAAGCCGCTGCACCGCGCCGAAGCCGCTCCACCGCGCAGACCTTGGACGATCTTACTTTCGGCGGCGAGCGAAGGGGGGGAACGTGTCGGGTTCGAGATCTCGAGGTAGTTGGGAGCTCTCGCCGGTTTTTCAGCGGCCTTCCAGCCTCGGCAAGCTTGCCAGCAGCTGCGCCTCGCCGCAGGCGTTCCGGAGGTCTCCGAACATCGCTCCGAAAGGCCGCCGGAGGGCCGAGGTATGACCCCCAAACCCACCTTCGGCGGCGAGCGAGGAGGGGAAGTGAAAGGAGAAGGCCTTCTCAGCAGGCGGCGGGGCTTCTGGGAACCCCTCGCGCCGTCCGAGAAAGTGTTCTGTGTTTCCGAGACAGGCCTGGAACACTTTTCAAAGCAATAGGAGACTTCCGAGCCTTCTGATGAGGCCCGCCCCTTCTCTTCCCCCCAGGGCTCGCCGCTGGCCATTTCGCCCACCCCCAGACGAGGGATTTGAAGTCAACGGTTGTGGCTTTTTGGAGCCTCTTGCGGGCCCTCTTGGGGGCCTTTTCAGGCCTGTTGGGAGTTTCTTAGGCGCAGCTGGCGGTCCTGGGGGTCCCCTTGGGACGAGAGTATATCAGATCGACGGAGTACTCGCGCGAGTGTCGTGCGGAGGCCCTGTGCGGGGGACGCTGTGCGCCTTGTGCGGGGCTCGTGTGGATGCCCTCGGGATTGGGTCCGCGTGCTCGTGCTCATGCGGGAGAAGGACCGTGGACGCGCTAACGGTGTGTTGGCTAATGGCGCAGGAGGGACAACCAATTGTTAGGGAGGCGTGGCTCGTGGCCAAGCCAATTGTAGGAACGCTTTGTCCTTGTTTTCCTATACCTCGCTGTGGTGTCCTCGTTCGATGCGTTCGCATACTTGGAATGTGCGAAGCGGTGTTTCGTGATCTCCTGCAGTTTGTTTTGCGTGAGCCCCGTGCCACAAAAAATAAGATTCCCAACCGCGCCGTTGACCAACCGCACGCCGTCAGCGCGGCCCTGGAAGAAGGAGGAGGAGGAGGAGGAGGAGAGAGGGAGGGGGATGAGGAGGGGGGGAGGAGGAGGGAGGGAGTGCGGGAGGGAGGGAGGGAGGGAGGAGGAGGGAGGGAGGGAAGGAGGGAGGGAGGGAGAGAGGAGGAGGAAGAGGAGGAGGAGGAGGAGGAGGAGGAGGAGGAGGAGAAGGAGCAGGAGGAGGAGGAGGAGGATGAGGGAGGGAGGGAGGGAGGGAGGGAGCGAGTTGGAGGAGGAGGTGCAGGATACGAGAGAAGCACGACATGGGCACGGTTCCCTTGCGCACGTGGCGCCCTGTGTGGCGCGCCACGCGCGCCAGCCCTCGTCGCTCCCACATGCTGTCCACGAGCCAGGAAGCCGGAAAGGGGCAGGGCACAAAGCTTGGCATCGCTCGGACGTGTGCATTCTGTTTCGGCGAGAACCATCGCTCAAGCAGTGACGAAGCGTCCTTGCTCGCCTATAGCCCTACCAAACAAGGTTCTAAGAACTGTTTGTGGCTTCCACGAAATGTTAGAGCATTTCTGGCCGGGAGCGTCTTGGTTTAACACATCGGGCTTATGTTCTAAGAGCATTGTTTTTGTTCCTAGAACTGTTTTAGGTTCTAAGAACATTTCGTGGCAGGACTATAGGAATGCCGGGACGGTCGGTCCCTGCTCAAATCGCAGACCATCGTGGACCATCGAGCAGAAAAAGCACGCACGACACCGACAACTGCACGGGAGATGGACGTCCGAGCGACGGCAAGGAAGGGGTGTGGCGTGCCACTCGTGGAGGTCGAGGTGCGATATCTGCGATGGCTGGCATCGCCAGGCTCAGCATCGGCACCATGCCCCTTTCTGCGACACCCGTTTTCCGAAATCCAGGACGAGAAATCATATTCTTCTTCTTCTTCTTCTTATTATTATTATTATTACTATTATCATTTTTATTCATCGTAATCTTATTACTATTATTATTAGATGTGCTTGTATTCCAGCTGGGCGCTCCTCCGCGAGCAGAAGCATCTGGGGCGGACAAAAACTGGCGCCTGGGAGGGGTCTCGGGCCCTCTGGGGGGGCGCTCGCGCTGACAAACCAAAAACGTCCCGGTGGATGCCTGGGGCGCGGTCGGGGAGGGATGCCTCCCCAGTCGGCGGCGAACCAGGGGGAGAGGCAAGACGGGGCGGGCCTCCTCAGAGGGTCCGGAAGTGCCCCGAGCCTTCTGCGGAGTGCTCGAGGCCTTCCCCGAAGGTGGAGAAGTCTTCCCAGAAGGCGCGGGGGCTTCTCAGAAATCCCGCCGCGAGAAGGACTTCTCCTTCTCATTTCCCCCCCCCCTCGCTCGCCGCCGACCCAGAGACCGGCATCGTGATTTCTGCACAGCGTAGAGGCTGAAGTCGGGCTTGTCCCTCTATAGGGGAGATTTTCAAAAATGGTCCAAAAATAGTATGGGGACGATTTCTTGTTTTTTTTTTGCCAGTTGGGTGTATTTTTGCAGTATTTTGTTTTTCTCTTCCAAAATCCCCCTGTAGGGGGACGGGGATTTCGGAAGAAAAGAAAGGCCTATACTTAGGTCGACCTAAGTATAGGCCGACCTAAGTATAGTCCCCCAGAGGTCGACCTAAGTATGGGCCCCCGAGGTCTGAGCCTCTCCCCGGGGGCCGGCTCCGCATCCCCAGTCGTGCGCGGACCCGGGGGCGGCCATAGGAGGGGGGTGGGCGTGCTGCCCGGCTGGGGTGGACGCCATGGCGCGGGCCATGGCTCCTCCTCCTCCTCCTCCTCCTCCTTCTCCTCCTCCTCCTCCTCCTCCTCCTCCTCCTCCGTAGCCGTTTTGGCTCAAGATGCATAGTTCCTCAGTGGAACAAGTGGATACCGCTAGTCCGCGGCAGACAAGACCCTTGGCGGTCTGGCAGAGATTGTTCCTCGTACTGACGCTCGCCCCCACGGGTAAACGGAGGCTTTTCCCGTTCCTGTGCGTACGAACGTCCCAGTCGCAATGGGGCTTCCCGATGCTGCGGCGCTGGCCCAGTGCGCCCAGGAGATCGAAGACATGCCCACCTTCCCTGACGATGATCGTGCTGATGGCCGCCGTGTCCGGGGCTCGCCTGAGCCCTAGTATCCGCGCGCCGAGGAGGGCACGGGATCCTCAGGCAGTGGCAAGGGTGTCGCCAGCCTGGCCTCCCGCGCTGCCGCTGCTGGTGCCGCGCTCGTCTTCGGGCGCTCGGATCAGCTGGCTCATTCTCCTGATCAGCCTGCTGTCGGTGCTCCTGTGCGTGCTGGTGGCTCCCCTGCAAGTTCTGACCACGCTCGTGCACCCGCTGGGCATGCTGCTCACGACTACCCCGACGAGTATATCAAAGCTGTCATCGCCGATGGTGTTGCCTCCCAGTTCAGCGAGCTGCGCACGGAGCTCGAAGGTCTCGTCGCCTCGACTGTGGGCGACACTGTTAAATCCAGCAACGCCTCCATCTTGCGGACCCTGGCTGTACTGCAGAAGCAGTTGGAAGATCAACCAGCAGAGCTTGACCAGAAGGCGATGGCTACTTTCCGACCGCAGCTCGACGAACTGTCAAGGAAGATGCAGCGACAAATCGATGATGTCACAGGAAAGGTTGCCACTCTCAGCATCGAGCTGGACTCACACACACAGAGCAGCTGCGCCAATTACGAGCAGAGATTGCCGAGCTACGTGAAGGACTTCATGTGGCCAAGCGCCAGGAAGCGGCCCCCTCGCCGCCCGCCAACTTCGACCGCCAGACAGACCCTGCCGTGGTGGTCGCGATGTGTACCAAAATGGTTGGTTTGTCACAGGTACGCGATGTGCTGGCGCCGTTCCTATCTGAGCTCGGATTCGAAGCAGACCAATACACCCTTTCGTGTCCGTCCCCGACTCCTGCCCGCAGGTTTAGTTCAACGGGGCCACAGGCCTCGCCTCTAAAAAGGTCTCGAAGGTGCTCAGCAACCTTCGCCGCAACGGTCAGTGGAGGGTGTTCAACGTCGAAGCCTCGGGCGCCGCCGCCGACGGGCGCCTCCACTTGGGGCCCGACAAATCCCCACGCCAGGTCAAGACGGAAATGGCTCTTCGTCGGATCCGTGGTGCGTGTTCTGACAAGTTTGGTGGACGGTGGTCTGTTGACCGTGAGCGAGGCATCCTCAAGAGCGGATGGACCAGCGTGCTCAAGATCCAGGCGAACCCTGAGGACGCTCCGTACACCGTGCAGTTCAACCAAGAGGGCATCTTGGACCTCAAGCTCACGCGTGCCGTCATCCAAGCAGTGGTGGATGAAATTACCGCCCCTCCGCCTCCTACGACATGGTGTCTTTGACGGCTTCATGCAGCTCTTCCACACTCCGACCCGTGGGAATGAGAATGAATCGATGCGATTCATCACTTGGAATGCTCGAGCTCTGTTACAGTACCGAGGAGCGAAGAGTAGACTCAAGTCGTCATATTTGAAGAGATTTCGCCTTCCTGGGTCCATCCTTGCACTTCAGGAAGTTCATCAAGATCGTCTGCAACTCGAAGACTATCTCTGTCGTCTTCATCGGGATGCTGTGGTCCACGCCTCGTTTTGCGCTGCCGATGTTGGGGGATCGCCTGCAGGAGGGGTCGCCACTATCTTACCGAAGCTCGCGTCTGAGCT